TTTCAAATGTCACATCTCTTCAATTTCTCTATCAGTTTCTTTTTCTTTTTTCGAAGGTTTTGATCTTCCGTCTTTTTTCTTCTTATGCTCTTTTAATTTTTTTTATGTATCTTCATTATAATCTTTATTTTTTGGTTTCCAATTTTAATTTTTTTATCGAATCCCTTACCGGAATTTCTGACTAATGGCGAAAACTCGATCTTCCGTCAAGAATCTACCGGCGATAAGGATTTTTTAAAGAAGCGCAAAGCAGATTTTAATAGGTCTTCTCGTTCTCGTAGACGGCATTATCCTTCGGTTTCTCGTAAAGGCAAGGGCAAATCCTTCGTTCAATCTTCAGATGTAGATTCTGATTATGAATATGTTTCTGACAATGATAGTTTAGAGATGAATTTTTCCTACAATGATGAAGTTCTTACCAAAAAACATATCAAGTCTTGTCTTGAAAAAGAGATTTATGGTGTCGATAACAAGAAGGTGGACAGACTCATGAAAGAAGGTCGTTAAATTTGGTGATGAGGACATGGTCAGTGATCATAATCTTCAATCAAAGAATGGTCAACCCAACCAATTTCCATTTGAACTTCTATTTTTGAACATATACAAGTCCTTCCTTGGTGCAGTAGTTCGACAATTTGTAACTTGACACTTCCAGATTCTCAACTCCACAGATATGAATACGACTGAGTTCAAAGCCTTCATACAGAATAACCAACATCTCTCTCGTACTTGTAGTTCTTTGACCCTATGTAGGGATGGTACACAAACCTCTCCCAAAAATTCCCCTAGTTTAACTTTTGAAAAGAATCCATCTTTACGCCTACCTAGCAAGCCTTGAAAGACTATCTCTTCCGACAAATTGTCATGCCATCCCCAATTGGAACCTACATTTGATTTTTATCAAAGATAAAAGTAATTTTCAAGACTTTGGGAAGAAAACAGAAATCCCTCAAATGCATACCATGCTAATGGTCACGCGGTCATCCTCCATCAATTTTCTGTTGAAGTTTCTGACACTAAGCGTCTTGGCGTCATTTACCTGCGGGGCCCAGAAAACTGGTTTAGAAAAAATAATAATAATTGTTGGATTTGATTCTTGGCAAAGTTCAAGTGTATTTGACCAGTGGATCTGCCACCCGCCCATGCCAAAGAACATTGTCTATCACTATAAGGCCTCCAACTCTCACCTGTACAACCAAACAATAAATAATACTTTCTACACAAATATTGATCTTTATAATCTTAAATTCCTGATTCATCTATTACTAACCAACTGCAAGAGTAATTCAAAATAATCTTGGTACATTCTCTTGTCTGCATCCACAAAGGCAAAATCATAGCTACAAAGATGAATGTTAAGATATAGTTATTTTACTGTGAAGATAATTGCATCATAGTAGTCCCAGAAAAAATAATCAAAAAATAAAATATAAAAATAACTGCATTTGAGTAGTTTGTGAATCAGAAACAACGAAATGTGTACCAAATCAGACCAATTGAAGTCATCAACGGACCTGCTGCCTTCACCATTCTGGACCATCGACTTCAACGTGTCAGCAGCTAACCCATGTTTTACTTTCACCTAAGTCCCAATAAATAGATCATACACAATTGGTATCCAAAGAATATCATTAGCATTAAAAGGTCTTGCTAAATACAAACCATACCTTATTTGAAACACCTGCACGGCTATAGTACCTTTGTGCAACTTCTAATGACCTCTCGTCCCTCTCACATGCTACTAGCTGACCTCCTTCTGGCAGGACTAAAGCAACAGCAAGAGATGAGTACCCCTACAGAAAATAATATCAATGGTAGAGACATCACACAGAAACTTCTTAATTTATAGAATGAACAGCTGTGGGTAGTTGACATCCAGTTTTGGTAAAACAGCAAAAAGATACATAAGAGACCTTTGCTCATGCAAAAATAAATAAATAAATAAATAAAGTATGGGAAACTTCCCAGAAGTAATGAGCAACTTTATGAGTATTAAGGACTTTTATATCAAACAACGACCCAAAGAGTTGGTATGTTAAAAGTTTGGTCAGGAACTAATATCTTAGATTAAAGCAATGCTTGATTAAACAGTTCATATAAATTCATACGCAACTTATAAAGTTGAAGATGCAATGATGTCTTACAAAAAATTAGATCAGAACAATTTATTGTATAAGAGAATGAAAAATGAGGTGCAGGATGCATACAGTGTATACGCCAACTTCAATACACCTTTCTGCTCCAAGAATCTCAACAAGCATTGCAAGAAGTTGCGCTTGATCCGGTGATACCTTTAGCACAGAATAACTTCTTGCATTATACAAATTCTAAGATGAGGCAGCCTAATGGTTAGGCGGGCGACCGTCATACTTTTCAAATAGAAGTGCATACTTATAAACGATTTCAGAAAAATTGTTGCACCAACTAGTTGATGCAATTAATTCAGCTACATATACGTTAATTTTTTAGACCACCCAAAGTTCACTGAGGTTAAATAAGAGTCTTAAGAGGATAGTAAAATCAACAAACCTAATAGTACTTACGGAAGCAGAGATAAATTTACCTGCATCTGACTACCCTGCATTTTAGCAGTTTCCTCCCTAAGCTCCCGCAATATCTGAAGTTCATATAAATAAGAAGCAGAAATATATCAACAACACGGAAACAAGACTTCAGCCCCCAGCACAATGACAAGATCAAAAGAATGATAAATTAGGTTTGGAAACTGAAAACCTCTGGCTCTCTAACATTCGCCATCAAGTAGTCATAGATCCTGGGATTGACACTAATGACTTCCTTACGACCGTAATTTTCATCGGTGGCGACGACTGTGTTTGTACTAGAAGTGGATGACGACACCTTTGTCCTGCAACAAATTGACCTGCTTAAATTTATCGCCTTTGCAGATTTGGATGCTTGAAGGCAATGGGAAGCTATTCCAAATCCTCTCGGGTGAATCGCCCATCGATGGACGGTGAACATGCTCGTGGACATTGCCATTTCCAGATGGTGTAATAAGTTGAAGTCACTTGGTTTTGGAAAGTGTGATTATCGCTGAAGCTCGCCTTGTTACCTTGTATCCGAGAATGATGGTCAAAAATAATAATAAAAAAAAAAAGAATAGCAAAAGGTTCTCGCCTTCTCGGTATTTGTTTTTGTTTTTAATAAAATTAAATACTTGGCTACACATGTTATCGGGAAATGCTGCAGTCCCGTTACGGAATCATTCCGTCGGGATTTGTAACCATTAGATCATTATGTAATCATCGGGGATAGTTGATCTAACGGTTACAAACCCCGACAGAATGATTCCGTAACGAGACCGTAGCATCTCTCTATGTTAGTGACCGTTATAAATAGACTTCTCTCATATTTATACTTAGTGGCGTATTCAATTAGGATTTTTTAACACTTTAGATAGGATTTCTAAGGATTTTGTAAGACTTTAGAAATTTTGGTGTATTGTGGAGCTTGAACAACTAGATGTGAAGACTGCATTTCTTCATGGAGACCTCGATGAAGAAATCTACATGGAGCAACCAGAAGGATTTGAGAAGACTGGAAAGGAGCACATGGTTTGCAGATTGAAGAAGAGCTTATATGGACTGAAACAAGCTCCAAGACAGCGGTATGAGAAATTTGACTCATTTATGGCGAGCCATGAATATACGAAGACTGATGCTGATCATTTTGTGTTCGTTAAGAAATTTCCAGGTGATAAATTCATTATTCTTTTGTTATATGTAGATGATATGTTGATAGTGGGATATGATACGAAGTTAATTGGTGATCTGAAGAAGGATTTAGCAAAGTCCTTTGATATGAAGGATCTGGGCCCTGCGAAACAAATTTTGAGCATGCAGATCATGCGAAACCGAAAATCCAAGATGTTATGGTTATCGCAAGAACGGTATGTGAATCGGATTCTGGAGAGATTCAACATGAAATCGGCTAAGCCTGTTAATACACCCTTAGCCAATCACTTCAAACTCAGCAAAAGAAGTTGTCCTACAAGTTAAGAAGAAAAAGAAGCTATGGTGAGTATTCTATATTCCTCGGCAGTCGGGAGTTTGATGTATGTCATAGTTTGTACTAGACCAGATATCGCCCACGCGGTTGGAGTTGTTAGCAGGTATCTTTCCAATCCAGGGAAGGATCATTGGGAAGCTGTGAAGTGGATCTTGAGGTACCTAAAGGGTAGTGCAAGTAAATGCTTGAGCTTCGACAAAGGAAACCCAGTCCTTGAGGGTTATACAAATGCGGATATGGCAGGTGACCTGGATAGTAGAAAATCTACTTCAGGGCTTGTGTTTACAGGAGGAGCTGTATCTTGGCAATCTAAATTGCAGAAATCTGTTGCCTTGTCGACTACTGAAGCCGAGTATATTGCACTGACAGAAGCGGGAAAAGAAATGCTTTGGTTGAAGAGGTTTCTTCAACAATTGGGAATGAAGCAGGAGAGGTACGATATTCATTGCGATAGTCAGAGCGCATTGGATTTAAGTAAGAATGCGATGTACCACTCTCGTACGAAGCACATTGATGTCAGATATCATTGGCTACATCAAGCAGTGGACGAACAACAGTTCAAGTTGGAAAATATTCACACTGAAGAAAACCCTGTTGACATGATGACGAAAGTTGTAACAGGAGGAAAGCTTTAGCTTTGTGTCGAGTTGATCGGCATGGAATGCATGTAAAGATCTGCAGTATATTACCCTTTGGCTGGAGGGGGAGAATTGTGGGATCCAGCCACACTTTCGGTGGACACTATGAAAAAAAGAAAGAAGAAAAAAATATGGGCAGAGATGCATACCACCGAAAGTGAAAGGAAAAATAATAAAATAAAAAAAAGTGTGTCATCTGTTTTTGGTAGGCGCAGGTTTTGTGCATTCCTCCCCCCTATAAATAGAGGGGGCATTCGACAGAGGAGAACACACCAAAGAGCAGAAGAAAAATAACAAGAACAACATTCAGTTCCTGGAGTGTTAGATTTTTCAGTGAGTTGTAAAAATAGAGTGTTTGAGTAAATCCTGTGAATGTGAGAAAAATACACCGGGTCGGGTATCATCTCTATTACTCCTAGTTTGTAATATTTGAATAGGAGTGGGGTCTCATTGGGTCACTATATTTTACATTTCTAGTGTAAGGAGTGTGAAAAGATATTGTAATTATCTTGAAAATATAGTGGAATTGTTCGGAGGTTGTCCCATGGTTTTTTCCTCTACATTGGAGGTTTTTCTACGTTAAATCTTGGTGTCTTCTTTCTTGCATATTTTATTTATTTGGGATATTCTTAGTATGCTCTGTGGCCGCAGTTTAATATGATCTTCCACATGATAAAAGAATTATTCTCGATTGATTGCAAGAGATTTCTTTTGTCACTCTTGAGTTGCTGAGATTATTATTTTTATTCACCATTTCACATTGGTATTTTAATTACACCTTCTGCATTTGCGCATCTGAGCCCAACATGACTGTCGAAAGGAAAATTAGTCAAGATGTAAGAAAAAATGATAAATGTATAGAATTATTTGTTTGTTAATAATTTTGAAAGTAGGGACATATACGTAGGATGAATAGAACNTATTTAGAGATATTTGTCTATGGTGCAAAGAAAAATTTATGATTTAGAAGGTCGTCAACCACTAATTTAATAGTGCTCGCGCATGTACAAACGAGTCAAGGACCAATGAAAATTAAAAAATGCATGTAAAAATGAAAAATAATCAATCGAATAAGGGAGAAAAGTAATTTGTACGTAGTATTTATACCACTTCAATGTTTCATTGTATTTATACAAATTTTAACTCTTTAATTGTCTTGTGATGTATAATCATCCCGATTGTTTTTTTAGACCAACATTACAAGTTTATTTTATTGTTAACTTTTGGAAAAAGTCAAATATAGTGATTTTTTTTAAACAACAAACACTTTCATAATTAGAAAGTTAAAAAAGTATAGATGGTGTGTCAACTAACAGTAAGGAACCAGAAAACCCTAACCTACCCTTTTAGAACTCCAGATGAATCCAAGGGGGGTACAACTCCATTAGAAGACAACCGCAAACACAAAACAAAACTCCATAAAGGAGACTAAAGTCAGACGAGACTGGACTAACAAAGCGAAAAATAGAGAAAAACGCACGCCTAACATACAAATAAACTAAGACCACCAAACATACATAACCCATGACCAACTGAGTTGGTACACGAGCCACTTCCTGCGGCATAGAGATCCAACAAAGCAGCTAATCAAAACCTCAAACTCGAATACTGCGGCCACTCGCACTGCCTAAAAGAATTTGATGAACAATCAATTCTCGATTCAAATCTGGACTCCAAAAACCTACCACACCGGGGGAGAGAGGAAGCCGCCACAAAAAACAAAACAACGACAATCCAATCGGAGGAGGGGCAGTGTACGGTACGGTGAACTCTGGTTCTTAAGATATGAGGGAGAAATAAGGCGTTGGTTTCAAAAGCATTTTTTTTCTTTTCAAATATAGTGATTGAAACATATCTTTTTTATTGTCATGAGATTATCATAGCCTTACCAATTGTTTTCATAGACAATCATTACATTTATTTTGTAGTTTTCTTTCTTTGCTAAAGTTTGTTTTCAAGTCAAATATAGTGATTGAAATAAATCTTTGGCGTGCTTTAAGTGTTAGAAAAAATATATATAATTGTCGTCTACTTCAATGCTCTAAAGCCAGACGAGACTGGACTAACAAATCAAATAAAAATAAAAATGCACATCTAACGTACAAATAAACTAAGACCACCTAATAAACATAACACATGACCAGCCGAGTCGGCACACGAGCCACTTCCTGCAACACAGAGATCCAACAAAACAGCAAATCAGAACCTCAAACTCGAATACTACGGCAACTCGCACCGCCTAAATGGATTTGATACAGTGTCAATTCTCGATTCAAATCTGGACTCCAAAAACCTACCACGCCGGGGGAGCGAGGAAGCCGCCACAAAAAACAAAAACAACGACAATCCAGTCGGAGAAGGGGCAGTGTACGGTGAAGAGGTGGGCTCTGGTTCTTAAGATGTGAGGGAGAAATAGGGCGTTGGTTTCAAAAGCATTTTTTTTCTTTTCAAATATAGTGATTGAAACATATCTTTTTAATGTCTTGAGATTATCATAGCCTTACCAATTGTTTTCATAGACAATCATTACATTTATTTAGTAGTTTTCTTTCTTTGCTAAAGTTTGTTTTCAAGTCAAATATAGTGATTGAAATAAATCTTTGGCGTGCTTTAAGTGTTAGAAAAAATATATATAATTGTCGTCTACTTCAATGCTCTAAAGCCAGACGAGACTGGACTAACAAAGCAAAAAAAAATAAAAATGCACATCTAACGTACAAATAAACTAAGACCACCTAATAAACATAACACATGACCAGCCGAGTCGGCACACGAGCCACTTCCTGCAACACAGAGATCCAACAAAACAGCAAATCAGAACCTCAAACTCGAATACTACGGCAACTCGCACCGCCTAAATGGATTTGATACAGTGTCAATTCTCGATTCAAATCTGGACTCCAAAAACCTACCACGCCGGGGGAGCGAGGAAGCCGCCACAAAAAACAAAAACAACGACAATCCAGTCGGAGAAGGGGCAGTGTACGGTGAAGAGGTGGGCTCTGGTTCTTAAGATGTGAGGGAGAAATAGGGCGTTGGTTTCAAAAGCATTTTTTTTCTTTTCAAATATAGTGATTGAAACATATCTTTTTTATTGTCTTGAGATAATCATAGCCTTACCAATTGTTTTCATAGACAATCATTACATTTATTTTGTAGTTTTTTTACTTGGCTAAAGTCAATTTCTAAGTCAAATATAGTGATTGAAATAAATCTTTGGCGTGCTTCAATTGGTATAAAAAGTATATATAATTGTAGTCTACTTCAATGTTCTAAATGTTAGTGTTATATACTGAAAGCTTGGCTTTGCATGTTATTACACATTTACCCTTTATGAATGAGAATCATGTTAGATTAAACAAGTTCTACGTTATGTTGTTCTGCACTTAGATAGTGTGGGTCGTCATCGGGCGAACCGAAGATCACTCTATCAGTTACTTGCGAACAAGAATAGTTGTTCACAACCTAGATGGACATGAACACCCCATCTGAACGGTTGTAGTGTCAACTGTACAGTTTGTCTTGACTGATTAGTTGCACTAGTACATTTATGTATTGAACAGGATCCCAGAGAGGAGAAGTTTATTTTATACTGATCGTCGTAAATGAACTAGGCCTCGGTTAATTACTGCGTTCTCTTAACCCGTAAGATATTAAACAGGCAGATATATATAATATATATTATTTTGATGCACATGGGTGAGGTTCAGTTCGCTGGATTAATATTCCTGTTGTTTTGGGTAATATTATTATATATAGGATGTGCTGTTAGGATATTTACGGTCACCATGTGCGTTAGTTTGATGATGTCCCCAGAGTGAGTTCATGAAGGATTGTTATGCTAAACCCTGCAGGTGGATTAAGTTCCGGCATAATAACAATATGATGAACGAGCGCTAGCTTCGGTGAAATAATAATAAATTAATTAATTCTTGATTGTCAGTAATCGAATTAATTAATGGACATTATATCTTAAACGTGGGGAGGTAAATCGAGTAATTATTATTGGAGTCTCAAATGTAATTTGGGCTACGAAGAGGAAGTGCAATAATATAATGTTGGTGGCCCATTAATATTATTTAATTAATTAGAGGAGTGGGCTTGGCCCACAGTTAGTCTAATTAATTAAGGAGCTCTTTTCCTAATCTCCTTAGGGTGCCTACTGTAGCTCTATATATACATCATTAAGCTCATGAGAAGTTAATAGAGTTCACATCTCACGTGAAACACGCCTCTCTCTCTAGATGCTTTATCTTCTTCTTGTTGCTCCACTGGTACAAGTTGAAGAAGGGTGTATTGAGTAATACAGTAGAAGATCTGTAGGTAAACCGAGACGAAATATATTTTGACCTACAGAACTAACCGGAAGTCCGATTGAGACGTACAGTATACCCAGACGACCGTCTCGACGAGAGCTTTCCATCGCCGCCGACGTCGCCGGACTCCGACGCTGCACACGCCCTCACGCGCCGCCGGAAGGAGCCTGACTGCAAAAATTCGTTTTGATCTGTTTGCATCCGTTTGATCCGATTTTGATCTGATCTTGTTCGTGCAACCCAAGACGTGATTTGCGGTCAATCAATTGCGGTCAACCGTTCGTGGTCAGCCAGATCTACATAAATTTTAAGCCGTAAGTTCTCTACGTCAAACCTTTAGATCCGCTGCGCATAGGTTTACGTTTGCTATTGAATTCGTGATTTGTACATAACGAGATCCTCACAGATCCCAACAAGTGGTATCAGAGCACTTGGTTAATTCGTTTTGTACAAAGTTCGAATTTTTACGGCTTTATTTGACAAGATGTGTTCAAACGCAGCCATATATTGGATTATATTTGCATAACTCGGTTTTGTAGAAAAATAGTTAATCCACTATTATGGCCGATTATGTGTTTGATGAATGTTGTTGAATGTGATGTATGGTTTTAAATTTGTTTTTAAAGCCTCGGGCATGTCGAGGAATTTATGACTGAATGTTTGTAATAATTATTCGTCCGGGGGTTGACCGGATAGATTTAATTATTTGTTTAGAAAACATGTACATCCATTCGTTGGATCTAGGATCGAATTATGTAATTTTGTAAATTATATTTTTCGTATTGTGATCGTGTGTTGATGACCGGGAGATCACAAGAGATCAACGAGCCTCGAGGAATTAAAAAAAAAAAAAAAAGGGAAACGGCGCGTTTTTCCGACCACCGGCGGCGGCGGCCGGCGGCCAGTCGGCGGTCGACGGTTGGCTGCAGGAGGTGGAGAGGTTTTGCCTTCTTGTCCAAGCAGTACAAGATCAACCAGAATTCTACTGCTTAAAGTAGTTCCAGTTGAACAGGGAAAGGACTGTCACAGTTTCCTTGTTTAAGGAGACTCAATATTTAATGGCCATAATAGTGGATTTATTTATTCATTTATTTAAATTTATTATGTCATTAAATTATTATTTATGCATGTTAATTAATTATGTTTTTGCATGGAATTAATTTAGTATTGCAAGATTATTTATGCATGTTAATTAATTATGTAATGCATAGGATTAATTTAGAATTGTGTCAATAAATTATGCATGTAATTAATTATGTTCTGGCATGGATTAATTTAGAATTGCATAAATTATTGAACATGTTAATTAATTATTGCATTGACATAGATTAATTTAGAATTGCATGAATTAATATGCATGTTAATTAATTATTGCATTAACATAGATTAATTTGGAATTGTATAAATAGTTAAAAATCCTCATTAAATTATACTAAGTTTGAGAAGGGATTTTAAATTAAAGTTAATTGTAAAATTCCTAAGGCCTCCATTTCTAATTTGTCGGTAAATCAATTAATTGCGGTTATGGGCTCCCCCTCGGGTGACATTGCTAAAATTAATTGTAGGAAATTACCAGGACAAATTTCTAAAAGTAGACAGTTAGAGGAAATCTTATGAGAGCGTTCGGGCTTCCTCTCGGATGGCGTATAATCAAATTTGACGACCTTAGGACCGAGAAATGGGATTCACTTAGAATGCGATTAAATTTATTAACCCCCCTCGGGGTCCCTGAATTCTATTGCATGGCCAAATGGAGACCGACTATTA